TGAACCAGGCATTTGTGCTGAAACCTCATTTGTTCTGACAGGTGTTGGTTTAGCCCCATTTCCACCTACTCTACTCTACTCTACTCTACTCTACTCTACTCTACTCTACTCTGCCCTACTCTACCTTGCGCTACTCTACTCTATCCTACTCTACTCTACTCTACTCTACTTTGCTCTACTTCACTCTGCTCTACTCTACTCTATACTCTAGCTGGTTGCGTTTCTATTATGCTTCCTTTCAACCTATCCACAACAAACCTGTATCCATGGAAATTCCTTGATAACCATGGCTCTCAGTAGCACCTGCCCCAACTCTACTCTACCTCGATTGGGATAGAGCCCTGTTTAACTGGTACCAGGTGCTTCTTTAGTACCTTCTTGGCCCTGGTTCTATTCAGGCCAAACCGGTACTAAAGTAAACAACAGGCCAGAGAGCAGCTGGAAGCCACGGTTGCTAAGGTTACTGGTTTGTTGTGGGTAGGTTTCAAGGATGCGGTACCAAACACTTCCTGAAAATGTGAGACAGGCTTCTACTCTGACAATGTTCTGTTTATCTGTGCTACAACTGAAGGATTGTATTGTCGCTCTTTTCAAAGTACTGTGATTATTTGTGACGCAAATGCCAAAAAGTTTCAGGTTCAATTGACCTGTAGTCTGAGGATTTACTTGGGTCCACATCCCAGCTCTTTGGTCTGGTCTGGTCTGGTCTGGTCTTATTCCCTCTGCGTCTTCACACTCAGGAGAGCTCAGCATAAAACAGGAAAGAAGAAAAGCAGTCCAGGCTTTGAGCGGCGAGTCTTTCATTTCTCCTTGTGTTTCTTGAACAGGGCGTAGAGAACCTTCAGCGTGGCCCGCTCGTCCTGGGCCACGATATCTGCAACACACACATTGACGACATTACACATTCAAACTTGCGTAACATGTGTAAAAACGGAATTTCAGAGACACTACAGTAGTCCCTCGTTTATCGTCGGGTGAGAAAAACTATTTGTATTTTATGCCACTCTCTGCTGTTCACATAAACATAAACAGCTGAAAGGGCTGCGTCAAAAAGAAAATACATACATTGGTTTAAAGTAGTTAGAAAAGTTGCAGCTTTTAGTCTAAATATTATAGTGACTAAAACTTACGCTTGGATTGTGTAAAGGAAAGGGAAAAAGACTAAGGCTAAGAAAAAAACTTTATTGATCTCACAAAGGAGAAATGTACAAGGCCAAACGCTGAGAGAAAAGTCAGTCAATTGTGTCTCCTTTAAGATTCAGAAAGAACTCTCCGGAGGGTCCAAAGACACGCTGAAATGTGCAAGGCCATCGGAGTGGGATAGATTTTCAACACTTCCTTAGGGAATCTTTTTCTATCTTTATTGACCCTGTATGGGCTCTTCATGAGGCAATGATAGCCCCGTTTCCACCAGCTCTACTCTACAATACTCTGCTCTACTCTACTTTACTTGACCCCTCTACTGAGCACTACTCTACTCTACTCTACTCTACTCTACCCTACGCTTCTCCGCTCTGCTCTACCCTACGCTTCTCCGCTCTACTCTACCCTACGCTTCTCCGCTCTACTCTACTGAGCACTACTCTACTCTACTCTACCCTACGCTTCTCCGCTCTACTCTACTGAGCACTACTCTACTCTACTCTACTTTACTGAGCACTACTCTACTCTACTCTACTGAGCACACTACTCTACTCTACTGAGCACTACTCTACTCTACTCTACTGAGCACTACTCTACTCTACTCTACTGAGCACTACTCTACCCTACGCTTGTCCGCTCTACTCTACTCTACTTTACTGAGCACTACTCTACTCTACTCTACTGAGCACTACTCTACTCTACTTTACTGAGAACTACTCTACTCTACTCTACTGAGCACTACTCTACTCTACCCTACGCCTCTCCGCTCTACTCTACTCTACTGAGCACTACTCTACTCTACTCTACTGAGCACTACTCTACTCTACTCTACCCTACGCCTCTCCGCTCTACTCTACTCTACTGAGCACTACTCTACTCTACTGAGCACTACTCTACTGAGCAATACTCTACTGAGCAATACTCTACTGAGCACTACTCTACTGAGCAATACTCTACTGAGCACTACTCTACTGAGCACTACTCTACTCTACTCTACTGAGCACTACTCTACTGAGCAATACTCTACTGAGCAATACTCTACCTTCCACTCTACCTTACCCCCATTGAAAGTGTCTCCACTGGCTCGGGTAAATGTTCATCCCTCTTTTCCATGGTTCTACCCAATCCACTGCACTTTTTATATATAGCACATTTCATAAGTGACTGTACAATACGTCACTTTAAGTCACTTGCAGTAGGACTAAAAACCTGCACTACTGTTGCCAGTGTTTCTTTAATTGCCACTTTGTACATACTATATCCTGAACAGACTGTATATAATTTTTGCCTTTAAAATGTCTGCACACTTCTGTCTTTTGCACAAATCTGAGGGGTTCTATCCGAGCCAGATGTGACATTTAAATTTGTCCTGTGTGAGATCAATAAAGTCTTATCTTAAACACAGTGTCCAGTGCTGCACAATAAAAGACTTAAAACAAATCCAAACAGTAAAATTGTAAAAAATCAAATAAGATATAACCATATACACATACACACATGTGCAAAAGTATATATATATCCTTAGATAGATAGATACTTTAGTGATCCCCGCAGGAGAACTTCACGTGTCCAGCAGCAGCAGAAACACATCCATCCACACAAACAAAACAAATCAATAAATAATTCTAAAAGCAGCTAACAATAGTATTAAAACAGCACTTTAGCAGCAGCAGAGGTGGTGTAGCCGCAGGGTGGAGCTATACAACATAGCCAAAAAAATTGCCACCGGAAGCTTTGTTTTTGTGGGTTAGTAACTAGACAAGATACTAAAGCGTAATGGAAATCCAACCAGGTAGAGTAGAGTAGAGCCGAGTAGAGTTGGGCCAAGCAGGGCTGGTGGAAACAGGGCTATTAACACACTACATACTACACTACAGCCTTTCACATCTCAACACATTCGCACACATTCACAACCGGAAACTCAATTCATTTCCCTCTGTGTGTGCGTATTTAATTATCGTTAATGAATGGGAAGTCCCGGCGCACAAAGCTTAGCGCAGGAAGGAGCGGTGTGCCGTAAGTGGGTTAGCTGGCTGAGGAGTCGATCTTCTTGTCTCATTCATTTATTTGGTTAGAGCAACAGCAGGGCTAGTTTCACCTCTCTCCGTGTGGATCTTATTGATTGGATTTCTGTCTAATGTGTTTTGGGGCCTCCTGATCTATGATCCGTTGCAAGGGATTGGAATAGTTATCAGCTAATGACAGTGAAAGCGGCCTCTCCGGTAAGTGCCTGTGTGGTTAGAGAGTGACGCTGCAGATTTGATTACAAGCCACTTACACGCTGCAGTTTTTTTTTTTTTCTGTAACAACCATGGACTGTATACATAGATAATGCTAACCTGCTAGCTTAATGGATCCCAATATGATCGTTCTGGCTCCTATTGATTCACATTGAACTGCAAACTCCTCCAGCTCAATAAACCATGTGGTATACTCTGTGATCCTGGTGTTTATATTATGATGTTTTCTTTTGTAAAGCCAGACATGAGTCATATAAGGAAACTGCATCTTTCCTTAGCAACCATCTTAGCAACAAGTCTGCCCCTGTTTCGTCGCGGAGCTAATGCGGGTGAAGCAAATGCCCATATAAGGAAATTGGCTCCTGCTAGCTAATTATGTTCAAATTGGCGTGTGTGGTTTTTGTGTGGTGGAGGAAACCGGAGCACCCTGGGAGAACATGCAAATTCCACTGTTCTGACCGGGATTCAAACCCAGAGAGAGACCAGAGAGAGACCAGAGAGAGACCAGAGAGAGACCAGACAGAGACCAGAGAGAGACCAGAGATGTCAAACCTGTTGGTTGTCTGAGCGCTGCTGCAGCTGTCAAAAAATGCAACATTACAACATTAAAACTTGCAGATTATGTTCAAGTGCGGCCTATAAATGGACAAAAATAAGTGAGTAAGTAATCTTAAAATATAAACCGCCTTTCACAGACCGGAGTCACAAAGCGGTTTACAATTGTTATCGTTTTTTGGGCATTTGTCTCTCACTCCACACAGAGATGAGAGCGGGGCCAGTACAGGAGGCACATGCCAGACCTATTGCACATGTTTTTAGAGGTAGGGGGAAACCGGAGCACCCGGAGGAAACCTACGCAGACACGGGGAGAACATGCAAACTCCACTCAGAAAGGCCCTGTTCCGACCGGGATTTGAACCCGCGACATTCTGGCTTATTTACAGGTGCGTCTTATAGTCCAGAATGTACGGTAATCACTGCGGCGCACACAAGCCACGAGGGTTTTCTTCTGAATTTAAAAAGTATCTGTCATGTTAGACTAGCGTTTTTTGTGTGTGTGTTGTATATGGCTTTACTGAACCGTGTTACAGCGTGAGGGACATTTTCACAAAACATGAATTCCACCAACTTTGGGGTGCTATGGTCAGAAACTTTGCTCCTCGTCCGCACTTCCTTCCACCGTAAGTGCAGGCAGCTTTATTCAGACCCAGAAATGGATTTTTGCCCGAACACTATAAAAACACTAGTATAAAAATACTGGGGCGACAGTAGCTCAGTTGGTAGAGCATTGGCCTTAAGCCCTGAAGGTCGTGGGTTCAATTCCCGCCTCTGCACCTTCTCCACCGACTCCCACTGATGACTGCTGTCGTTGTGTCCTTGGGCAAGACACTTAACCCCACTTTGCCCAAAAGCCCCCACTGAAAGATCACGGCTATGCTCACAGTCAGAGAGCAGCCGCCCTCCTGTGGACTCACCACCTGCAGAGGGTCAGTGAGGGGCTGGTGCTATGAGACTTGGGTGGCATCTCTGATTGTCACCCCCCTTACCCAGAAATGGATTAAAGGGTAGAAAATGGATGGATGGCACTATAAAAACTCTCCTCCTCCACCACAGAGCATGATAAAGGTCAGACCGGATGCACAGCAATAAACCAACGTTCCGGGACTCATTTCAGATGGATGCGGGCACGGCTGGGTCTCACCGGGTCAAGCTTTAACAAACACTCATTTTCATTTGAGTCGATGGTCTCTCTCACGCCTCCTGGTTCTTACGGCTGTGGATCAGATTCACTTCCTGTTCTGAAGTCATTTCTCAACACTCATATTACTCTTCTTTTGTTTGCAATGTATTATGTCAGTGACTAGAGTAGGGCCGAGTGGAGAAGAATAGATTAGAGCAGAGTAGGGCTGGTGGAAACAGGGCAATATTTACTCAGTTACTTCCAATTACTTCCGATTACTCTTTAATCCAGTGGTTTCCATTCTGTAGCTTTAGTGCTATCAGTAGCTCGCCACCCGTTTTTAGGAAGCTCCCCAAACGATTCAGGAATTTGACTCAAGACCCTAATGATTACATTGTGAGTCATTGTATGTATATTCTAACTATCCACGTGATCACTAATGTAGGGTTATACCATGGATCTATTATAATAACTGGATAGGGTATTACAGCTTGTAGCTGAATAACTCATGTGCTCGGGGGAGTCTCGCGGTACTGCAGACTGAACCAGACTAAATTCATGTGGGCTACCCAGAAATCTTCCCCATAGGACTCAATGCATTAAAACAGCTCAACCTCAGCTGACAGAGAACCTGACAGAGAACCTACAGCTTTCATAAAGATCGGATTTTGTGGGGATTTTAGTGTCACTTAAATTCTTCGGTCTTGTTTAAATCCACACTTTAGTGCCACAAACTCTGCTCGTCTGGCTCTGGCTCTAACTCCCGCTCTGATGAACTGCTCTGATTGGTCAGAGCGCGGCCGAGCCCCTCTGTGCACGTGCGTGAGACCTGGTGTGAGACCCACACATGCGTGTTTGGCGCAAAGCATTATGGGAGATCATCCACTGCGCAGAACCGGGAGGACCAGACGATGCCCAAATACAGGCGAGTTTCCCATAGATCTTTGCGAGTTTCAGGCGACTTCCGCTAATCTTTCAGCCCCCGTGCCGTCACAAAGCGCCACTGAGCACAACCATTCATTTGAATAGGGCGCCATCTTGGATCGCCGGGGCTTGGGTTATACAGTAAAAGACAATTTACTGTACATACAAGTTACATAGACCACAGTTTTCTGCCATCTTGTACTTAGAAATCTATTTCTGAAATGTGAAATCACTGGTGACGTGATAGTGGTCTTTGGTGTCATGAAAGGTGCTACGTCCTTGTTACATATTATCACTTTAACATCTTGTAAAAGTAGCTCTCCAATCGAAAAATGTTAGAGACCCCTGCTTTAGTCTACAGCACGGTGTCGAGGCTAATGTTAATGTTAGCCTCGACTAAGGTTAATGTTAGCCTCGACTAATGTTAATGTTAGCCTCGACTAAGGTTAATGTTAGCCTCGACTAAGGTTAATGTTAGCCTCGACTAAGGTTAATGTTAGCCTCGACTAAGGTTAATGTTAGCCTCGACTAAGGTTAATGTTCAGGACATGTGTTTTCTCTTTGAAGGAAGTTTGTTTTTGTCTGTGAGCTGTTGAAATATTTTTTTTTTAAATATTGGATTATTAATTTAATCATTGAATAAAATGCGGCCCACTGTGTTAGGTCTTGGTTCAATTAGTTTTATGCATCATTTTAATAAGTTTGAATGAACATTGAACCAGTCCGGCTTGTAGCAAATGGTTTTTTTTTGGCCTCTGACGTATTTGACTTTGACATCCCTGGTCCACAGTGAGGTTCTGCCTGTATCTGCATCCACAGTGAGGACCATGTCAGGACCATGTGAGGACCATGTGAGGACCATGTGAGGACTATGTGAGGACCATGTGAGGACCATGTCAGGACCATGTGAGGGCTATGTGAGGACCATGTGAGGACCATGTCAGGACCATGTGAGGACCATGTGAGGACCATGTCAGGACCATGTGAGCACCACGTCAGGACCATGTCAAGACCTTGTGAGGACCTTGTGAAGACCATGTCCGGACCATGTGAGGACCATGTTAGGACCATGTGAAGGCCTCACACGCCGCTGCTGGTCCTAATCCCTCTGGTCTCATTAGCTTCATGACGGCTGCATGTTGTGGCTCACATGAACACAGAGCGTTTCCATTTCTGTACAGACGACAGAGTTACATAATCCTGTAAAATATTCACATCGTAACATTCAGAGTAAATCATTTCCTGTGTCTTCTGTGAGCCAGTTATAAATAAAACACATGCCGTGGTTTTAAATATTCATGCACTTTTTTGTTCTAAATGTGAACACGGATCCAGTGGCTCGTCCTTTCAACATGTTCTCAGTGTGAAAATACCAGTTTTACATGATTCCAAAAATGTACACTTCATTATGGAATTATAATCAGGGCTGAGTGTGGTTCAGAGTCTGCAGATACGACAGCACTGGGGGAGCCGAACCTTTTAGTAACGGAGCCACTTTAGTTCACCGGGTTTGACCGACAACCCGGATGTAGAACTGTGTGGGCTGGATTTGGGCTGTTCTGAGGTAAGACAGAATGTAAAAAGTGAAATACGTCGACTTATGTTTAAGGCTTAGAAGGTACTTTTAATAAGACAATAATGTAAAGAAGCTATAGGAAACCGGAGCACCTGGAGGAAACCTCTGCAGACACATGGAGAACATGCAAATCTCACTCAGAAAGGCCCTGTTTCGAACGGGATTCAAACCCAGAACCGCAAACCACTCAGCCACCATACCACTGCTGAGGAGTAGAGTAGACTAGAGACAAGACGTGTGACTAGAGACTAGACTAGACTAGAGACTAGACTAGACTAGACTAGACTAGACAAGTGACTAGAGACTAGACTAGACTAGACTAGAGACTAGACTAGACTAGACTAGACTAGACAAGTGACTAGAGACTAGACTAGACTAGACTAGATAAGTGATTAGACTAGACTAGACAAGAGTAGAGTGGATTAGAGCAGAGTTGGACCGAGCAGACAGACACAGGGAGAACACGCAAACCCCACCGAGATCGGCCCTGTTTCGACCGGGAATGAAACCCAGGACCTTCTTGCTGAGACTGCTAACCACTCAGCCACAGAGTCCAGGAAGTCACATGTTCCTCGCGTAAACAACTCAAACACAGAGAACAGAACAGAAGGAGAGAGGGTCTGAACCCTGATGTCAACATGAATCATCATGTGTTCACCAGGCTGTGGTCGCCGTGGTGATTGTGGGAGAGATGGGGACGTCGGACCGAAAACCTGTCTGTGTCACGAATGAGAAATCAGTATTCAGGCAGAGGGCTGTGCCAGACTGACAGACGCACAAATGTGTCTCTGAGTTAGAACACAGCCTCTCACGAAACAGAAGGGACGTTTTAAATGAAAAAACTTGTAAGAAATTTGTACCGAAAACTGAACGTGAAGAGATACAAGACACATGTTCACACCAAAGTATTACAAAAGTATTGATGGTTATCTGTTCCATCAGAATTAGAGTTTTAAATGTTCTTGAATTTCATTTTTTGTTCTGTGTTTTGCTTCTTTGTTATGCTAAAGATAGAAATTTAATTCCATTTTAGTACAGAGTCTCTCTTGTGCTGTGAGCTGCTCATTCCTTCTGTTCTGTAACTGGTGTTGCAACACTGACATTTTCCCACTGAGGGACAGATAAAGGATCTTTTGAAGGTATACAGGAAAATTCTAAGCTTTTTCACCCAGAGAGCTTCTTTCCTGGGACAACAAAGGCAGAGAGCTACTCCTTTAAGCCGGCCTAGGGAAATTGGTGATAAATTGGTGATAAATTGGTGATAAATTGGTGATACAGTCGTTATTTATCTTTGCATATGTGTTGTGCTACAAAGTCAGTGTGTTTACAAATGATAAATAATAACAATGACGAATGCAATCTGAAATATTAAGTATATATATGATTTGTAATTTTCTAAATCCTTTGGCGAGCTACAGGTGTCTCCTGAGCTACAGGTGTCTCCTGAGCTACAGGTGTCTCCTGAGCTACAGGTGTCTCCTGAGCTACAGGTGTCTCCTGAGCTACAGGTGTCTCCTGAGCTACAGGTGGCTCCGGAGCTACAGGTGTCTCCTGAGCTACAGGTGTCTCCTGAGCTACAGGTGGCTCCGGAGCTACAGGTGGCTCCGGAGCTACAGGTGGCTCCGGAGCTACAGGTGTCTCCTGAGCTACAGGTGGCTCCTGAGCTACAGGTGTCTCCTGAGCTACAGGTGGCTCCGGAGCTACAGGTGTCTCCTGAGCTACAGGTGTCTGAGCTACAGGTGTCTCCTGAGCTACAGGTGGCTCCGGAGCTACAGGTGGCTCCGGAGCTACAGGTGGCTCCGGAGCTACAGGTGTCTCCTGAGCTACAGGTGGCTCCGGAGCTACAGGTGTCTCCTGAGCTACAGGTCTCTCCTGAGCTACAGGTGTCTCCTGAGCTACAGGTGGCTCCGGAGCTACAGGTGTCTCCTGAGCTACAGGTGTCTCCTGAGCTACAGGTGTCTCCTGAGCTACAGGTGTCTCCTGAGCTACAGGTGTCTCCTGAGCTACAGGTGTCTCCTGAGCTACAGGTGTCTCCTGAGCTACAGGTGTGTCCTGAGCTACAGGTGGCTCCTGAGCTACAGGTTGGAGACCCCTGATGTAGACTGTTGGTCCTATCGTCAGTCATTGCAGCTGTTTCCTCTGGAGAGGGCAGTTCTTTCCTAGAATTCTGGAACATCTGTTGTCAATGTGTTTAGAATTTAAAAATGGAAAAATCTCTCAATAAATATCCATTGTATTTATTGTTGATGCACAAATAAAATTGCAGAATAAAGTTTGACTTTCAAAAACCACTCACCGACACACCCGACAGTGGATCATAAAAGAGATTTTCCAATACTTTGAAAAGGATTTTTCCATTTGTGAAACGAGACACAATAAAATAAAAAACCCATGAATTTGCTCTTTTTCTGATGATTCTCATGGAACTGTCAGAAGGAGCCGAGTCTCCGGGGACCAGCACAGACCGAGGGCCGAGGGCCGTTTACAGTTTGAGACGCGTGTTCCCAGGACAGCTGAGAGACAGCCCCTCCAGAGTGTCCTGGGTCTCCTCCTGGTCTCCTCCTGATCTCCTTCTGATCTCCTCCCGATGGGACACGCCCTGAACACCTCCCCAGGGAGACGCCCAGGAGCCATTTGAAACAGATGCTCAGAGCCTCCGCAGATGGATCCTCTCGGTGTAAAGAAGGAGCGCCCAGTCACTCTGCGGAGGGAGCTCATGTGGACCGCTTGTATCCACGACCTCGTCCTTTCGGTCATTACCCAAAGCTAATGGTCAGGGGTCTGGGAGAGAACGTAGGGCTCTGACTACAGACGCTGCTCCTTCTTCACCAAGACAGGTTGACTCTTCTGGCCCTTTTTGCACTCGTTGATCGATTTTGCATTGACAATTATTTCCTGTACTTTTTTATCTTGTTTTGTTTATATTCTTGCCTGGTTCACACTGGGAACTTTTGCACATGTATTCCAATGTGGTTTTACGGCAAAAAAACTCAATCTGAATCTGAAGGATCAAGAATCGTCGGCGAGAGCACTTTAGCAGAACTTTGCCAACAGCATTTGCATTAGAATTAACTTCACATTGTAAATCAGGTTTTACATCCTTGTAGCCTACATTTTCATATTATCGAGTCATTTCTAAAACCACAATTTGAATGTATTATGTTTTTTTAAGCGGTGGTATAGATTGTTCTCCCACCTCCCTTCGCTGGGACCAAAATGCAAAATATAACACATCATGTTTGTTATTCTCACCTTGTGGAGAAATGCTGGACACTTCCATTCCAGCGTGACTGAGGAAGTCCAGCGCCACAGTCACATTATGGAGCTGGAAACAACACAAAAGTCAACAATGTTTTTTTACGTAGGGTGTTTAACAAACATAGACAGTCCTGACTAGCTTCATCAATCCCATCATCCTCTTTTATATTTATATATATATATTTTCTATAACAATATTGTTTATTTTTTGCATTGTTGTAGCAGTACAGTTGTAGTACTGTTTTATACTTCATTACGATTACTATTATTTTATATGATTTACTGTATTTTTTATTTATTTTGCACAAGGCGAGGACAGTTGGGAAAACATTGAAATAAATGATGTCTTTCTATTCTGTAAGTAACATGAAAAACATGAACTAATATTAGTGTCACTAATGTTCTGTGTTCTGTATGTGTCATTATTGTTAAAACTCATTACCTGCCTGCCCATTTCAGAACAGGTACTCCAGTATTGCCAGCAGTCACTGATGACTTTTATTGTCTGTCTACTTTCCTCAGCAAAAAAAAAAAATGTTTCTAGCTTGTTTCGTTCCCCGGTCGAGTAGAGGGAAGTTTTACTGAGATCACCAGTCTCAGACAAAAAGCTGAGAACAACATACTGAGGCAGCGCTGCTGCCACCTGCTGGCTCGATAAGATATGCTCTAAAGCTAATCCCCATTTATATTAGATACAATAGACAACTGGGAACATGAAAATAGTGAAATACGCATTTAACGCAATGTGTCAATGGCAGACAACCGTAATATTTGCTTTGACACGTTTGTGTCAATGGCAGAATTATAGCTTTGTTTTTGTGTGTGTTTAATTTAATTAACTTTTCTCATCTTTAATTTGCTGTAAATTGTTTTTGTGTTTGTTTACATGTTTGTATATATGTTTTCCTTAATAAACTAAACTAAACACAGTAAAGTACCAAATGAGGCCAAGGCCTCCTCTCACCATTTCCGAGCGATGGGACGGAGTCAGGTAAAAGTGGTAAAGTGGGACGAAGTATCCCTCTAACTGTCCAATCAGCAGCAGCAGGATTACCCCATCAGCAAACTGCAGCAGAAGAACAAGCAGAGACAGATAGCGAGTCTGCAGCAGGGATAGCATCTCTGCACAAGTCGTCACGAAGCCAAGAAGGATTGTACAGTGTGTGTTTTTTACCTGTCGGTCCATATCAGCCACCTGCAGACCCAGAGACGACATATTCTTGTTGACAAAGTGCAAAACAGCCTGGAACAGAAAGAGTTGGTGTTTTTTTGGGAGAAGTGGGGAGTGTGAGGAGGACACGAGAGAAAAGGGAGTTAATAAAACTTGACGGGAACATTGGAGACTGTCCGGAGGATGGAAGAGTGCGGACGATATGATGGATGCTTTTTGACAGTGATCAGGAAATGTAATTTATCTTCAAAACGAGACGGTAACGGCCGCTATGTTATTCATGATGCATTTGGCTGTTTAATTACATTTAGATCAGTCTGTATGTGTTGGCGAATGATTAATTAAGTCCTTTTGAGATAACTGCTGCTGTGATTTAGGCCTATAGATATATACATTGATTTGAATTGAATGTAGCCCTGTTTCCACCAGCCCTACTCTGCTCTGCTCATGCTCTACTCTACTCTACCCCAAAATTTGGAGTGTTTCCTCTAGCCCCGTTTAAGGGCTCGAAACCCACGACCTTCAGGCTCAAAGGCATTAAGCTTTTTTTTAAAGCTTAATGCTGACTGCACAGTACTTTGTAAACACACTTTGGAACAAGTGGATCAATGCTCACGCAGAGATAGAATCAAACCACTGAAATTGCACACGCTATTTTAGCTCCTGGTTAAATATCATTTACGTCGACATTTCAGACTGTGCATCTTCTCACAAACAGGAAAACCAAGAAACTGTTTGTGGAAAGTTTTATAGTTCACTGTTTGTATCTGTGACTTCTTATTATCACGACGGTATTTAAGGTATATCAAATTATGCATTTAATTGATTAACGAGTTTGTTAAGATTTTTGAAGAATTCCTGCTTTAAAATGTGGTTAAGAAACGCCAAACAATTGCACGGACCGGCACCGAAATGTGTTTGTAAAAGTCTTTTACAAGCTGCTTCTTCTTCAGAATGCGCATGGACAGCTACCGTGTCATTTGACATTTGAAGACGAGGACAAGGAGACCCAACATGCAAAACTGCAAAATAATGGATTAAATAAATAGTAATACAAAATCAAGGTCTAGCAAAAACACCAAAAAAAGTAACTAAACCGGGAACAAGGACAAGAACTGAAACAGACGAGGAATGACGGAGCAGGAGGTATAGAGACTCAGGGGGCTAAATTCAAGACTAATGAGACACAGGTGAGACACCTGAGGGCGGGGCTGGAAATCAGGAAACAGGAAGTGAAACTAAAGAAGACAGGGTTTTAACAGACAAAAAAAATAAGGAAAAAAATACCCTATTTTTTTAGAATCGTGATATAAATATGAAAATGATTTATTTAGTTGCCCGGGGTTTGAGGACCACTGCTCTAGGGGGACACAATATATGTAAAGTGTTAATGCTGACAAACAGGGAAGAAGTCACAAAAAATTCTAACCCAGTTGTGTCTTTAAACCCTGGGATACAGCAGCAGTGGCTGTGGCTCTTGTTCCTCTGGCTCTGTGCTCTACCTGTTTGACGGTGGTGACCTTGGCAGAGTCCAGCCGGAGGAGGTGATCGATGGGGTGGTCCCCTGGTGGCCACAGAGAGGAGGATCAGGTCACTGCGGCTCTGAAGCCTTGGAAAGCACACTCAGAGCGGCCCCTGAGCTCAACCGCACTATACTCACTCTCAGGAGCGCTCAGGGAGTCTGCGCCTTCGCTCCTGCACCAAAAACCAAGAGATGAGATGAAAGTGACTGCATGAGGTTTAATATGTAAAGGGACCCATGGGGGGATACGAGCTGGAATTACAGTGGTCCCTCTCTGTAATCCTGCCTCTACTGTTTATTTATACTCCCTCGTTAAAACACGATTCACATTTCGCGGCCTTGCCTTTTTTGCAGTTTATTTTGCGTGATTTTTTTTGTACAGTGTGCTTCTCCAACACCATCAGATACAACATCATAGAACCACGAGTAAAACAGGACAGTTCATTTAAAGTCAGAAGAAAACTTTTGTGGCTTTTGCGCACTGCTGTGATTGGTTCAGGACTATTGTGGTCTTCCCGTGATCTAGCCCTGAGTGCATTTAATAGAGCTGTAGAGGACACTGAGGGGCAGGAGCAGGACGGAAAGAAGGAAGACCAGAGAGAGAGAGAGAGGAGAGAGAGAGAGAGAGAGAGACCAGAGAGAGAGAGAGGAGAGAGAGAGAGAGAGAGAGAGAGACCTGAGAGAGAGAGAGAGAGAGGAGAGAGACCAGAGAGAGAGGAGATAGACGAGAGAGAGAGAGGAGAGAGACCAGAGAGAGAGGAGATAGACGAGAGAGAGAGGAGAGAGACCAGAGAGAGAGGAGATAGACGAGAGAGAGAGAGGAGAGAGACTAGAGAGAGAGAGGAGATAGACGAGAGAGAGAGAGAGGAGAGAGACCAGAGAGAGAGAGAGAGGAGAGAGACCAGAGAGAGGAGAGGAGAGAGATCAGAGAGAGAGAGAGAGGAGAGAGACCAGAGAGAGAGAGAGAGAGGAGAGAGACCAGAGAGAGGAGAGGAGAGAGATCAGAGAGAGAGAGAGAGAGGAGAGAGACCAGAGAGAGGAGAGGAGTGAGACAAGAGAGAGAGATGAGGGACCGGAGAGAGGGGAGAGAGACCAGAGAAAGACCAGAGACCAGAGAGAGACCAGAGAGAGAGAGAAAGACCAGAGGGAGACCAGAGAGAGAAGAGAGAGACCAGAGAGATCAGAGGGAGAGAGAGGAGAGAGACCAGAGAGAGAGAGAAAGACCAGAGGAAGACCAGAGAGAAAGAGAAAGACCAGAGGAAGACCAGAGAGAGAAGAAGGAGACCAGAGAGATCAGAGAGAGAGAGAGGTAGAGAGACCCCACAGCTGGTATAACATGACAGTATGATGTTGAGTAAAGGTGAACTGTATCATAGCGAAGGACCACTGAAGAATAATACCCAGAATGCATCACAGTCCTTCACAGCTGTGCCGAACCTCTCACCTCTTCTCCGTCAACACCTCTCTCTGCGTCTCCGACTTAATCCCGCTCTTGCTGACCTAGACGTACACACACCAGGTCGTAAATGAGCAGAGAAATGCCGTGTTTTGTCCCGGCAAAGAGGTCGTTACGGAGAAAGGACTAATCTCACCTCCACCACCACCACCTCAACCTCCACCCCCGGCGGCAGCTCGAGCTCCGGCTGGAACCGCCTCACCATGGCAACGAGCAGATGAACCGTGGCCAGCAGGTCTTTGTGGTGGATGACTGACAGATGAACAAAACATATGAGATCAGCCCTAACCGGCGCTCTCTGACGGTTAAAGCAGCAGATAGAAGCAGCAAAATAACAGAAGGGACTTAAGGTCATCATTTGCGTGTAAACATATACTTATTTTATATACTTCAGTGTATTTTATAAATGGTGTTTTTCAACCAGTGGGCCGTGGTGCGTTGTTGTGCCTGGGAAATGATCCGATATCACCTAATGGTCAAAATACTGTGAGAAGTAAGAGTGGAAAGACTTTTTTTTTTTCCCTTTTTCTATATATACACTTTGATGAGAATGACTTAAATTGTTAAAGGAGCAGTATGTACAAACCTGGACAAAAGTGGTACTGCAGCCTCTCCCACTCTCCCTGAACTAGAAAACACTAGAAAACTCTCTCAAAGGTTTTCTAATCTCAAAAGAAACATTATGAATTATTTATAGCCATTCCAATTATAATGAGACTTTGTTCCCCCCGTGTTTTGGAACGAGGCTGTCAGACATATTTTTGCCAAGGGCCGGATTTAAATAGTAATAGCAACAGTCAGGGGCCGAAAAAATCAAAAGTGGTTTTCTTAGTGGAAAGTTATATATATTAATGACATTATAAAGGTTTTTTTTAACTTTAATTTCAGAGAAGAGTTTGAACATTGTCATAGGGCAGCATTTTCTTAACGAATAATTATTGTGACCTGAATATACTTTTGCTGATTCCAAACAAGTTACTTCCACTCTGAAGACAACAGCATCACTACGACTTTACATTCAATCGTTTTTTATGACAGTCCAAGCCGGTGAAGCACGTGTGTTGCTGTGTGGTTGTGGCCCAGAGCCTGTGACTCACGGTGGATGCTCCACTTGGTCTGGTCCTCGTCCAGGCCCAAGTGCTGCTGCAGCTGTCCCAGGACCAGCTCCAGTTTGTGGGTCTGAGCAGCGGAGGTCAGGGCCATCTCCTCCACGTCCAGCTGCACTCCGGCCAAACGCACTGACAGTAACGAGACGCGGTCAGTCACACGGGTTTGATAATGGACTTTTGTGGTTTTCTAATGTTAAAACCGTGTTCTTTCATCGATAACACGCAAGAAGTGGTTTTTGGTTTCATTCAATGTGACTTTTGTGGTCTTTCCCGGGTGGAGCTCCATTTGTCTCTTGTACAGGACTCCAAGGCTCATTGGGGCCTGACTTTATGTGAAAATTGTATTTTTATATAGACATGGCAAAGCAAGTTTATATGTATAGCACAGTTCTTACACATGGCAACTCAAAGTGCTTAAAGACGCTATACCTGATTTATTTTCTAATGAGTTCATACAAATGCTTATTACTACATACAAGATGCTAAACATTCAAACTGAAAATAACCTGCAAAAACGGGTAAAACTCCTTAAAGGAATAAAAACAAAAAAACATTAAAATCATCTACAGTATAACCAGGGCCTGGTTAGTACTGTGATGGGAGACCTCTGGGAACACCGGGTGCCACAGTGGGGCGGCTGCGGCTGTAAAGTGCCGAAGTGTCGCTATATCCTTAGGCAAGACACTTCACCCCCATTGTTTAGAGTGAGTCTGGTGTGTGTGTGTGTGTGTGTGTGTGTGTGTGTGTGTGTGTGGTGGTGGGAGGGGCCGATGGCACATACGGATTGCCTCGCTTTTGTCAGTGTGCCCCAGGGCAGCTGTGGCTACAGTTCTAGTGTATCACCACTGTGTATCGAGTGACAGAATAATAATTATTATTATATATTTTATATAATAAATTTTCAAACTCCATATTTAAAAGTAAAATTTACATCACTTGTTTGATTATTCTGTTGTAGATTAAAAAAGCATAATTTTCATGTAATTGTAATCAGCAGCAATTGGTGATTTTTGAGAATACGCTTTTTGTTTTTTCTTGTCTAAATACATCTGTTGTCAATCTGCAGGAAATGGGGAATCAAACAGAAAACTCAAATCCAAAACAAAAGAAGAAGGTGTTTTTCATCTGATTTCTTTCTCCCGGAGGAGGATTATAGTTCAATACAATCCACTCCAGTCCGTTTGAAGGTGAGGACTTTGCATTTGACTCTTTACAGCTCCTGGAGTAAAACTCATTATCATGAAAGACGATTTGACAGAGTGGAAATCAGGATCAGTCTGAGAGCCGCCCGAGTCACAAGGACTAATACTTACTAAAATTGCTTTTCACAAAGTTCAAAGCAACATCTGACCAAACCTCAAAAACCTGTCATGAATTTCATCTTACAAGTTACATGCACGGACTGTATTCAGATGGACAATGCTAACCCGCTAGCTCAATGACCCCGAGTAGGGAAGTGCTCATGGACAAAGTTTTGTGACTTACATTGAAAAGTAAGCTCCTCTAGCTCAGTCACCGTTTTACTGGGCTTAAAAAATCCATGGTTTAGACCCTGATATTGTCTTTTGGACTTAAAAAAACCATACTCAACCGCTCTCTGTGAACATGGTCGAGCCTGGTTGACCAATCAGAGGCCTTCATTCACAAGAGAAACTCCATCTTACCTTAGCATCTCCCCTGCCCCTGTTACGGCACAAAGAAAACGTCTTTGGAAAAAATGCCCATATAGGCAAAATGGCTTTAGTTAGTTCTTGATCAAAGAGGGCTCTTCTGTAGTGAGGCTAACATTATGGTGATGTCACACCCTCAGACAGTTTCTAAGGCAAACTGGAGTTTTCCGCGTCAATCCATATATGGCACCGTCAGGACCACAGAGAGCGATTAACTATGGATTTTTTAAGTCCAAAATGGTGAATGTGACATAAATTGTTACTGAGCTAATTGTCCTGGACCCGCTTAGTTTCCTTAGCGGGTTAGCATTGTCCATCTGTATACAGTCTGTGTTAGCATTGTCCATCTGTATACAGTCTATGTTAGCATTGTCCATCTGTATACAGTCTATGTTAGCATTGTCCATCTGTATACAGTCTATGTTAGCATTGTCCATCTGTATACAGTCTATGTTAGCATTGTCCATCTGTATACAGTCTATGTTAGCATTGTCCATCTGTATACAGTCTGTGTTAGCATTGTCCATCTGTATACAGTCTGTGTTAGCATTGTCCATCTGTATACAGTCTATGTTAGCATTGTCCATCTGTATACAGTCTATGTTAGCATTGTCCATCTGTATACAGTCTGTGTTAGCATTGTCCATCTGTATACAGTCTATGTTAGCATTGTCCATCTGTATACAGTCTATGTTAGCATTGTCCATCTGTATACAGTCTATGTTAGCATTGTCCATACAGTTTATGGTCAAATTCATGTTTAGATTTGTAGTAGTTGTAAGGCTTTTGACACATCATCATCTCCTGGAGAACCGAGCAGACAGAGAGCGACAGGCGGCTCTCAGCTCGTGCATTAGTCTCCCACTCACTCAGCAGGTGATGCAGGACCAGGCCGTCAAACATATCCTCCTCCAAACTCTGGACCACAATGTGCTCCGCTTTCAGAGTGCTATTGATCCAGTCCACCAGGGCCTGCAGACACACACACACACACACACACACACACACACAGTGCATCAGGCTCCGAGATGCCAGCCCCGCGCTCTCATCTCCGTCAATAATACTTCTGATGCGAAAGCAGACACAAACAGCATGAATCCACTTGATGAGACTTTGCTCCAGTCGCCATCAATAACGCCTGGAGATGGTGGTATCAGACTGTTTATTCTGTACGTAACACGCAGTCAAACATCACTCGGACACAACCACAGCAGTAATATGTGTGATAGTTTAGTAGTTTGAAGAGTATGTAGCGTATCGAGTTTCAGTTTCGTTTCAAGTTGATTTTTAACATTTTAAAGCCCTCTCGCCCCTCCGTACTTGTCCGAACTTTTGACTGTACGTGACTCGAGCAGATCATTGAGGTCGTCATCTCAACTCCTCCTGGAAGTACCAAGGACTAGGTACAAACTCTGAGGAGACCGGTCCTTCTCAGTCCTGGACCCGGATTCTGGATCAAGCTGCCCCCTGACATGCATGAGCTGATTTTGGCCGTTTTATAATCGAGGCTCCGAACGTATTTATTCAGACTGGCATTTAACACTTTTAAATCTCATTAGCACGGTGACAATTTTCTAAATGCTTTTTAACTGTTTTATTGTTTGAATGGATTTTATGTGATTTTTTGGTAAAGCACTTTGGTCGCCTCGTACCACACCATAGTACACATTACATTCGTGCTAAGGTCTGGAGGTGCTCCATTGAGCTCCGTTAACAGGTGGGAGGGGTTAACTCCGTTTGCAGATAGAATGTATGCAATGAGTCGTTAGCATTTAGCCTAGCATCTCCTTTGCAGCTAACGGAGCCCGTGGGGAGTAGCGCCACAATCTTTGCCAGTGACTACATTTGCTAAACATTCCTCTTGCTCCGGCTTCAATTTCTTGATAGAACCAGACCAGATATCTTTACTATCGCATTCTTTGCCATTGCCAAACTACAACCTGCTCGTTCGACGCAAACTCTTGACGTCACCCACATAATAAACAATGGGCCTCATTCACGAACGGTTCTTAGGAACAAATTTGTACGTAAATCCTACTTACGAGGTTTTTACGAAGAAAGTGGCATTCACGAATTTTTCTCGTAACCAGAATTTCTCTTGGGCAAGTACAAATCCTACGAGTCCTCAAGAGCACTCGTACGCATTCAGTGCCGACATGTTCACACGCCGGGGTTGTCCTCTTTGGTGAAGTTGAATAAAAATACAACATTCCAGTGATATGTCCGTCATATCGATGTATGTATTTATTTATTTGTAGTAATCTTTATTAGTAATCTTTATTTATATACCGCCTTTTTCACTGCAGATCTGGCCTACTTTTTAATTCATTTTGAAATGAAATGTGCCAACGCTTTATCAAATACATTGGAAATCTTGCCGTGTATTAGTGACCCCTTCCAATTTATAGGGGGCATTTCTTTATCCACGGGCCACAGAACAACGGCATATATACTGCTGCTGCAGGAGGTTACTGGGTCCGCGCTGAGTCTCTGCACTGGTCTCTCCCATGGATCTAGACGGGTCTGCACTGGTCTCTCCCATGGATCTATACGGGTCTGCACTGGTCTCTCCCATGGCTCTAGACGGGTCTGCACTGGTCTCTCCCATGGATCTAGACGGGTCTGCACTGGTCTCTCCCATGGATCTAGACGGGTCTGCACTGGTCTCCCATATACGGGTCTGCACTGGTCTCTCCCATGGATCTAGACGGGTCTGCACTGGTCTCTCCCATGGATCTAGACGGGTCTGCACTGGTCTCTCCCATGGATCTAGACGGGTCTGCACTGGTCTCTCCCATGGATCTATACGGGTCTGCACTGGTCTCTCCCATGGCTCTAGACGGGTCTGCACTGGTCTCTCCCATGGATCTAGACGGGTCTGCACTGGTCTCTCCCATGGATCTAGACGGGTCTGCACTGGTCTCCCATATACGGGTCTGCACTGGTCTCTCCCATGGATCTAGACGGGTCTGCACTGGTCTCTCCCATGGATCTAGACGGGTCTGCACTGGTCTCTCCCATGGATCTAGACGGGTCTGCACTGGTCTCTCCCATGGATCTAGACGGGTCTGCACTGGTCTCTCCCATGGATCTAGACGGGTCTGCACTGGTCTCTCCCATGGATCTATACGGGTCTGCACTGGTCTCTCCCATGGATCTATACGGGTCTGCACTGGTCTCTCCCATGGATCTAGACGGGTCTGCACTGGTCTCTCCCATGGATCTAGACGGGTCTGCACTGGTCTCTCCCATGGATCTAGACGGGTCTGCACTGGTCTCTCCCATGGATCTATACGGGTCTGCACTGGTCTCTCCCATGGATCTAGACGGGTCTGCACTGGTCTCTCCCATGGATCTAGACGGGTCTGCACTGGTCTCTCCCATGGATCTAGACGGGTCTGCACTGGTCTCTCCCATGGATCTATACGGGTCTGCACTGGTCTCTCCCATGGATCTATACGGGTCTGCACTGGTCTCTCCCATGGATCTAGACGGGTCTGCACTGGTCTCTCCCATGGATCTATACGGGTCTGCACTGGTCTCTCCCATGGCTCTAGACGGGTCTGCACTGGTCTCTCCCATGGCTCTAGACGGGTCTGCACTGGTCTCTCCATACGGGTCCGTGCTGCATGCTCCTGGATCCATACGGGTCCGCGCTGGTCTCTCAAGTCTGGTCTATGCGGTCTATCTTCGGTCCGCGCTGGTCTCTGCGCACCGGTCTCTCCAGTCAGGTCACTCCAGTCTATGCGGTCTCTCCTATAGGTCCGCGCTGGTTTCTGTGTGCTGGTCACTCCAGTCTCTCCTCGGGTCTGCATTGGTCTCAGCGCTGGTCCGCGCTGGATCTCCTCCCAGGGTCCAAAATATTTTGAGATTAATCTCAAAACTCCCATCTCTGTGTGGAGTGAGAGACAAGTGCCCAAAAATAACAATTGTAAACCGCTTTGTGACTCTGGTCTGTGAAAGGCGGTATATAAATAAAGCTTACTTACTTACTTACTTACTACATTTTGAGATTCATCTTTAAAATAATACATAATATATTTTTAAATTAATTCATTTTGAAATGAAATGTGCCAACGCTTTATCAAATACATTGGAAATCTTGCCGTGTATTAGTGACCCCTTCCAATTTATAGGGGGCATTTCTTTATCCACGGGCCACAGAACAACGGCATATATACTGCTGCTGCAGGAGGTTACTGGGTCCGCGCTGAGTCTCTGCGCTGGTCTCTCCTATGGATCTATACGGGTCTGCACTGGTCTCTCCCATGGATCTATACGGGTCTGCACTGGTCTCTCCCATGGCTCTAGACGGGTCTGCACTGGTCTCTCCCATGGATCTAGACGGGTCTGCACTGGTCTCTCCCATGGATCTAGACGGGTCTGCACTGGTCTCTCCCATGGATCTATACGGGTCTGCACTGGTCTCTCCCATGGCTCTAGACGGGTCTGCACTGGTCCTGGATCCATACGGGTCCGCGCTGGTCTCTCAAGTCTGGTCTATGCGGTCTATCTTCGGTCCGCGCTGGTCTCTGCGCACCGGTCTCTCCAGTCAGGTCACTCCAGTCTATGCGGTCTCTCCTATAGGTCCGCGCTGGTTTCTGTGTGCTGGTCACTCCAGTCTCTCCTCGGGTCTGCATTGGTCTCAGCGCTGGTCCGCGCTGGATCTCCTCCCAGGGTCCAAAATATTTTGAGATTAATCTCAAAACTCCCATCTCTGTGTGGAGTGAGAGACAAGTGCCCAAAAATAACAATTGTAAACCGCTTTGTGACTCTGGTCTGTGAAAGGCGGTATATAAATAAAGCTTACTTACTTACTTACTTACTACATTTTGAGATTCATCTTTAAAATAATACATAATATATTTTTAAATTAAGCTCATAACATTTTGAGATTAATCTCATCATATTCTTAGATTAATCTCATAATTTTGCTAGTTCGACTTTATTCTCATAATATTTGGACTTTTAAGTCAACATTTTATAACTTTATTCTCAGTCTGGCAAAAGAAGAAAAAAGGGTGACTCTTTTGCTACGTGTAACTCTTTGCTTTAGGCCTGTTGCTGTTTCCTCTGCCGTCTGCACACGGCCCTGCAGTCCCTTATATGGGCATTAGTGGGCGGTTACTTATGCTAAGTACCTATGCTAATGAAGCACCGGGCACGCGCGCTCTACTTACGAGGAAATGGGATTTATCAATCTAAGAGAACAGCTGCGAACAATTCAGCGGCTTACGAGTGCGTTGATGAATCCCACGTAGGGACTTCTTAGAAATCTACTTAAGGACAACTTGAGAAAAAATTTGAGAAGTTTCTTACGAAGTTATTCGTGAATGAGGCCCAATGATTATAAAAGAAAAAAAACGTTTATACTTTAGGCCCCTATCAGCTCTTACCATTTTAAACTTGGCCCTTGTTCGAAATGAGTTTTACATCTCTGGGTTCAAAGTGCAAGTAAGCGATGTTGTTAGCTTAGCCGTAGCACCAACTGGAAACCACCAACCAAACATTTTCTTTTCTTTGTCACAACAGGGAGAGTGGGCGGCAAACATGAAATTGGCTTTTTCTGTTCAGCCATTTAAGGTTTTCGAAAATCCGATATCTCAGGTGCACTCGTGAGAAACAGGAAGAGGGTGAAGGGGGTAAACACATCCCATTGGTTCGTTGGGGAAGAACGAGTCCCATTGGTTTATTTTTTCATCGTTCCGCTCCAAAATATTTTTTATAAATTTTTGGAGACTATAGGCATCTGGTCAATTCCATTACTATTTGAAAACACATGATAACTTCACTACTTTTAGAGTTTAGGGACATTTTCCAACAATATAAAAAAAAATGCGTCTGGAAAAAAATCACTAACTGCATCTTTAAGGGGAAGCAAATGTATGAGATCAAACTAGTTATATTAAAAACTAAGGCTAATGAAGGCTAACACTACGGTGACGTCACACTCGGTCAGTCCACTCCTTAATATCCGCTCTTTTTTTTTTTTTTTTTCTTTTTTATTTATTTATTATTAAATCAACATAAAAACACAAGATACACTTACAATTAGTGCTCCAACCCAAAACGCTCCCACCCTCACCCCCATTCACACTCATTCACACAAACGGGTTGTTTCCTTACCATATTAACATTCTGGTTCCTACAATATATATCAATGCAGTCTGCACGGAAACCACATCCACCGCAATAGGGTTGTGTGTGCTGCTGGTCCACTGTTAGTAGTAACATTTACCAGTTACATTTTGCTTAAATTCAAAAATGATTGTATTAAAAAAAAAAAATACAAAATAAATAAAATGTATAATAATGAATTTTTTTAAATAATAAGTTAATTATAATATCCGCTCTTTACGGTCCGCAGACAGCTCAGACAGCACCCGTCACTCAAACCCCCGCGCTGCTATCGTCTCCCGTCATCTAAACCTGTTGGCGTACACAAAAAAACGCCATCCGTCTACGATCACGACTTATAATTACGTTCATTAAAATTTCACCCATCCTTCCACCTCTCTCCGTCGGCATCAGATATAATTCATGCCTTCGGAGGAACACATGGGGTGCTCTTGTCAGCCCTGTAATGTATTTCTTATGTCACTTCTATAATGGCTGCGTTGAACTTGAGTCAAAGGCTTATAGAAGGACTGATGCTAGCATGTGTTGGAACTTTTTATTTTTTTAAAAACCATGGCGTGCTTAAAAAGGATTCCACGCCATGTTCTTTATTCACACATTCTTTCTCGTGCCTTGTTATGTTCATGCGGCTTTTCATGTCTTAGCCCCGATGCTATTATGTAGGCTACGTTCCCACGGTGGAGGGAAGTAAAAAAAAACAAAAAAAACCTTTCCCAATTGCGGTACATTCTGGATTATAAAGCGCACATTTTTATGTTTGTTGCATTTTCTGTGTTTGTACTATTTGATTCTCTGATCTGTTGTTGACGAATCGACAGCTGTATAAAGTCCTCAGAGACAACCGCTATTGTCATTAAATTGTTGGATTAATTTAGGGATTACAAGCTACTACTTTTCTGGGGATTTCCACGGTGAAAACAGAAGGACCCAAAATGCAAGACTTACAAAAAGATGAAGATTTAATAAACAAAACGCCAAAATAACTAAATCCAGGGTATGACAGAACTCTGAAGTCAAATCAAGACCATGCCCTCTACATTTTGTCCAATAATACTAAGTCCATAAACTCTGCTCTGACAACGGCCCTAGTCACATAAACACAGCTGTGTATTTCCTGCGTCAGCTCTTTCTTCTGTTCACATAAACACCGGGAAGCAGGAATGTGTGGTATGTCATTAGCTGGGCCTAAATTCCTTCTTCGGGCGCTCAAAATAAAAATACAGACATTGGCCGCATCGCTACAAAGACCGCAGGGTTTAAAGAACTAAGGAAAAGTAGTGGCTTATAGTCGGGCAGTTGTGCTAATGCTAGTTTCCGTCCCCAAATGGTGAGTGTGGCAGAAACGCTTTCTGAGCCTGAGGAGTTTACTTTTCAATGAAAGTCAAGAAGAACCAGAGCGAGTTGGAGCAAAACTTTATCAATGTCAGGTTTATTTCTATAGCACATTTACAACAACAAACGCTTCCCAAAGTGCTGCACAGTATAAAACATCAAATACAAAAAAAGGCTACAGTAAAAACAGATCCACGGATATTACAACGCCGCTTAGTTTCCAAAGGTCGGAGTAAAAGCTTGAGTCTTTAATAAAGATTTAAAAACATTTAAAGGACAACTCACCCTCAAATCCACTTTTTTTTGCTGATAAACGGTATAAATGAGTGTCCAATAGTGTTGTCTACATATCCTGGTCATAATCTTGTCACTTTGGTGCAAATTAGTTGAACGTTAGACTTTCTGCCTAAAACCGTCTGTGAGGCGCCATCTGCTGGCGACCTGTATTACTACATTTGAATTTTGAATCTGGCGCCAACACTGGCACAGAAGTTGGACCTGACGTCTGCAAGTTGGACCTGACGTCAGCAGCCCCCCGCCCAGAGCAATGTAAACGGCCCAGTCTCGTTCACGCCCCCTTTAGTCCTCCAGGCTACGCCCATTTAGAGGAAGATTTGAACAGGAAATGAGAGTAACGTAAGCTCCGAGGAGCGGGGGTGAGAACCACTTTAAAGAATCTGTGCTTTGACAAGAGGAGGCTGTTCCAGAGTTATCCGTTACCACTTCCCCAGTGGACTTCATTGAGCTAACAGGTTTTCCAGGTTAGCAGGCATTTTAAATTATATCTCACCTCTTTGAGCTCTGTCAGCTTTGGATCTTTCAAAGCGGTCGGTTGAATCAACTTCCTCTTCTCTCCTGTGTGAGCAAACAACACATATGTTAGTCAACTCTGCCATTTACAGGCATCTGTCCGCAGGCCTTTACTTCCTGTTTCTGCCCAGGACCAGTTCAAAACCAGTCCAAAACCAGCCAAGGACCAGTCCAGGACCTGCCCAGGACCAGTCCAAAACCAGCCTAAGACCAGCTCAGGACCAACTAGTGCAATAGATTGTTTGATACCAAGTGACTGATATTTGAAATTATAGATAGAACAAAGTACATTTCAGAATCAAGATAAAAGACTCTTTCTCCGTCCTACTGTGAGGAAATGTCAACTCTGACACAGGACAGAGAGCACACAACATATACACTATAAGTAAGTCAAATAAGTTAATTTATGAATTTATAAAAACAGTTATATAGAAATAAACTACATAAAGAGACAGAAAAAGTCACAAAGTTAAGAAGACCACAAATGTACATGAGCAAAGTAATTACACTTCAAAACTAAAAGCCGTCATATTGACTGCTTTAGGAGCTCTGTTTACACTGGTGCACTGGTTCATTGAGCTGATTTTGACGAGAATGTTTTGTGCTGGAGTTATTTCCGTCCGTTCTTTTGAGGAAGAGTCGGGCTTTGTTTGAGCTTTGCAGCCACTTTCCAAATTAGCTCAAGCAACAGTTGGCCGGAGCATCTATTTTTGTGTTTCGTGCCACACATTAAGAGTTCCCTTAAGAATAATTACAATACTTACTCTGTCGGCATTTGCTTGAACTAAGGAGGAATCATGAACAGAAGTGTCTTTTGTAATCGGAGTCTCTGGAGGGTCTGAGGACTGCGACGATCCAGGACTTTTATTCACATTTACGGACAGTGGTCGGACAGTGGTCATGGCGTTCTCTTTGGACCAATGGCTCCTAAGTGTTTGTCATTGCAACTGTTTGATTTGTAGAAAAAAGTGTGGTGTGTTGTAAGGCAGAAGGATTATACACCGTCTGTAAAATATCTTGGTTCAACAGCCTCATTTGTAAACATGTGGACTTACCGGAGAAGAGCTCTTCCATCTCTGGAGCCTTGGCACAGTCGAATATGTCTGCCTCCATTACTGAAGATTAAAACACACAAATAACACAAGATAAAACAAGATATACAGTGGTTCCTAACCCTGGTCTCTTTCTCTGGTCTCTCTCTATGGTCTTTATTTCTCTGATCTCTCTCTCTGGTCTTTTTCTGGTTTCTCTCTGATCTTTCTTTCTGGTCTTTCTATCTCAGATATTTCTCTCTGGTCTCGCTGTCTGATCTCTCTCTCTCTGGTATTTCTACATCTGATCTGTCTCTCTGGTCTCTCTCTCTGATCTCTCTCTCTCTCTGGTCTCTCTCTCTGATCTCTCTCTCTCTCTGGTCTCGCTCTCTGATCTGTCTCTCTGGTCTCTCTCTCTGATCTTTCTCTCTGGTCTCTCTCTGATCTTTCTCTGTCTCTCTTTCTGGTCTCTCTCTCTCTGGTCTCTCTTTCTGGTCTTTCTATCTCTGGTCTCTCTGGTCTCGCTCTCTGATCTGTCTCTCTGGTGTCTCTCTCTGATCTTTCTCTCTTGTCTCTGTCTGGTCTCTATCTCTGGTCTCTCCCTCTCTGGACTCCCTCTCTCTCTCTGGTCTCCATCTTTGGTCTCTCTCTCTCTGGACTCCCTCTCTCTGGTCTCTCTCTCTCTCCTCTCTCCGATCTTTCTCTCTGGTCCCTCTCTGGTCTTCGCCTCAGTCCTGCTCCTTCCCCTCAACACTTTGTCCTCTGCAGCTCTATTTTACAGTGTACGCACGGCTTTTGACAGCTGCAGCAGCGCTCAGACCAACAGCTTTAATATCTCTGGTCTCTCTTACTTCATCAGTCGTGACTTCAGGTGGTTAGAAAAGTGTATAAAGTCTGAGTGAGAGGTTTTCCAGCCTTAAAACACACAGCTACTACTTCATGGATTTCGTTCTGTGTGAGTTATTTTTGACATAACAATATTGTGCTGCATGGCCGTAGTTTCAGCTCAGATTAATCATTCAAATAAGTTACAGCTGGTAATGAAGTCCGTTTCTGTATAATAATAATAATAATAGTATTTTGGACGTCTGTATTCAGCCGTTGAGAGCACATAAGACAAGGATTTTTTCTCGTAAATCTCATTCAAACCTTCACAGACGCAAATTAGAGCAGAAGAATCACGCCTGTTTCCTGATGTTGCACGACAGGAACATTTGACTTCTTGATTTTACTTCAAAATGTTCTGAAAAAGAGCCCAGCACACAATATTTCCTAATTTCCTCCGCTGCAAACTTACGCTCACTCAAACCCAACACACTGTAAAAAATGCCAGTCAGATGAATATCCTGAAATACTCAAAGCCAAGTCTGTAAAGTGGGTCTCGGCCTTATTCTCCCGGTTTTTGTTCTGGTGTTTTTGTGGCTTCCTTTTCCTGAGGTGATGCGTTCGCTTCAAACAGGGTCATAAAGAGAATTATAGCATCAGGATCAGACTTACCGTGGGCAAAAAATGAGAACGACTCGAGCTAATGTGAGGTTTGTTGATGTGCGGAGCTGTCAGTGCCACGATACAGGAAGCGGGCGAGTGGGGAGGAGTTGAAACTGAAGCCGTCAAAATGAGAGCAGGAGGAGATGTTGAAATCCAAAAAGAAAAAGAGAGAAGAAAGTTACTTGACATCATTTTCTCAACCTCGACCCCGAAACAGCGACGGCCTGCTCCTGAGACATACTGGAAGAAAAAGGATAAAGCAAGTGTTTTATTTGATTTTCTACGGATTTTTTGGCTGTCACAAAATCAGAGGGTGCGTGAGAAGTTGGTGACTTGCACATGAGTACACACACACACACACACACACACACACACACACGGACACACACAGAGAGACAATCGGCAAAGTAGCAGCTGTGTGTTTTAAGGCTGTAAACCCCTCACACACACTTTATACACTTTTCTAACCACCTGAACTCACGACTGCTGAAGTGAGAAAGACCAAAGATATGAAAAACCTGTTGGTTGCAGGTCTGAGCGCTGCTGCAGCTGTTACAAGCCGTGCATACACTGTAAAATCTGGTGCGCTACTGCTTGGTTGGATTGAAAACCTGCCAGTGTGTACCCATGGAGTACGGTCACATTAGTCCAGCCACCGCACCTCAGAAGCCACAGGAAGCCAGAGAATAAACTTTACCAATGTATATCTGTGACATGTTAGTACCATGTGAACCGACTGGGACTCTGAGGAGCACAGGGACTGGCCTCCTGCTGGGACTCTGAGGAGCACAGGGACTACTGGCCTCCTGCTGGGATTCTGAGGAGCACAGGGACTGGTCTCCTGCTGGGACTCTGAGGAGCACAGGGACTACTGGCCTCCTGCTGGGATTCTGAGGAGCACAGGGACTGGTCTCCTGCTGGGACTCTGAGGAGCACAGGGACTACTGGCCTCCTGCTGGGATTCTGAGGAGCACAGGAACTGGTCTCCTGCTGGGACTTTGAGGAGAACAGGTCTCCTGCTGGGACTCTGAGGAGCACAGGGACTGGTCTCCTGCTGGGACTCTGAGGAGCACAGGGACTACTGGCCTCCTGCTGGGACTCTGAAGAGCACAGGGACTGGCCTCCTGCTGGGATTCTGAGGAGCACAGGGACTGGCCTCCTGCTGGGACTCTGAGGAGCACAGGGACTGGCCTCCTGCTGAGACTCTGAGGAGCACAGGGACTGTTGGTCTCCTGCTGGGACTCTGAGGAGCACAGGGACTGGCCCCCTGCTGGGACTTTGAGGAGCACAGGGACTGGCCTCCTGCTAGGACTCTGAGGAGCACAGGGACTGGCCTCCTGCTGGGACTTTGAGGAGCACAGGGACTGGCCTCCTGCTAGGACTCTGAGGAGCACAGGGACTGGCCTCCTGCTGGGACTCTGAGGAGCACAGGGACTGGCCTCCTGCTGGGACTGAGGATCACAGGGACTAGCCTCCTGCTGGGACTCTGAGGAGCACAGGGACAGGCCTCTGGGTGGTCCCAGAGTCAGGACTAAACATACAGAGCCAGGTAATTAAGCAGCACTAGCTTTCTTTAGTTTTTTGTGTTATTTAAAAGAACCTTCAAAGCCTTATACAGAGGCAGCATTTCAACTGTTTTCAAAAACAGTTCTGTTTAGCTGCACCTACAACTGAAGGATTATAACTTCACTCTTTTTTGATGTAGTCGTCGTTTTGTTTTTCGCACTTTGTCCTGCCTTGTGTATGAACTGTGCTATACAATAAAAATCTACATTTCCTGCAGCATTTGTGACATGTCTGAGCGGCTCCATAAGCTCCAATGAAAGAGGAAGACGGCCACTTCCCTTTTTTCTTCTTCCACTTTTTTCCCCTTGTGCGTTTTATCTTCAAACACGGACCGGCTTTTCCTGATAACAGCGTTTATGTTCGGAGTCACGGCGCGGGTCTGAAAGTCTCATCTGTAGAAGAGAGAGAGCGGGAAGCCATGTGTGCCCAGTGCTTAGGGAGCGAGGAACAGCCCAACGGAGATATTTATGGCACGTGTGAGACCAAAGGGACAAATACGTCAGAATCGTTTAACGCAGTGGTGTCCGACTCATTGTGATCGGGGGTCATATTTAAATACATGATAGATGGTTAGGGCCAAAAGTATTATTTGACATGAGTTTGTAAATTATTTTCTGGCAGGTTTAGATTCAATCCCAACTGAGCCAAATATACAGAAAAGAAAAAATGCGGACTGATTTTTAAATACTACTAACTTCTAATCACATGTCTGTTAATATTTCAGGACAGATTCAATGATATGGTTGTTTTCCACTTACTTTAAAATCAAGTATAACATGCCATTGTAGCACACCGGCTTCAAGTTGATGTAAGAGTGATAATTGACATGATCATTTCAGGGGCCCCTACGAGTGGTTTTGTGGGCCCGAGCCTGAGAACTCCACACAGAAAGGCCTGATGGCGGAATCGAACCCAGGAACTTCTTGCTGTGGAGCACGCTAACCGCTAACCACTGCGCCGCTGTGCCACCCAAGTTCTTTTACCCCAAGCATGTGAAAAACTACGACTCTAGCCACAGCTGCCTTGGGGCACACTGACGAATATGCCATTGGCCCCTCTGACCACCACCAACTATTCACACACACACACACACACCTACACACACACACACACACACTGTTACACCCTGGCTCTACAGGTGCAACATAAAGGACAACAGGCAACTAAAAGTTAATATAATTTATTAACAGAAACAAAAGTCTAGGGAGATAACACAAAGAAAACCAAAAAGGGGAGGACAGGTGTGGTGGTGAGCAGGGCTGCTGCTGCCAGGACAGAGAGAGAGAGATGGGTGGAGTCAGGGTGTGGTCTTATAGGCTCCCAGCAGGGAACCTGATGCAGGCTGGAAATCCTGGAAGTGGATCCTGGAACTGGAACAGGTCTGAATGGCAGCTCCACATAACACCCCCATCCATAAGCAAGTTGATCTCAAATCAACATGCAAACTGAAGGCTCCAATCCTCCAATAACGCAGCGGTCCAGAGAGACACCACATCTTGGACCCAGGATGATGAGTGGATTGGTCAGAAACAGGCCACAGCAACCACAGATAAACTGGAAAAAAACTCAGATGCCGAAAGGCCAGGGTTAGAGCCAATTCCTCCCTCCCTATGGTTGTACACTAAACCTGGGAGATCAAATAAAACTCATGCTCTACTCCTGGAAAGACATATGTTTAGGCCTCTTTCTACTCAGAACGGGACACTCTGCAATACGGTGCCCAGGTTTCCTACAATAGAAACAACCTCTGTCATCTGATCTATTGTCAGGCGTAAATGATTGCTTAAAACCAGAGGCACGAGCTGGGGAGGTGCGTCTCATCACTAGAGACTCTTGTGCTCCAGCAAAGCTGGACTTGTGTGTCAACACGTACTCATCTGCCAACACTGCAGCTTTGGAAAGAGTTGTAACTTTTTGTTCATTGAGATAAGTACAGATTCTATCAGGCAGGCAGTTTTTAAACTCTTCCATGAGAATCAAACACTTGAGGTCATCAATTGACTGTACTTCTTGGGACAGGCACCAGCGATAAAAAAGTGATTCCTTCTCCTTAGCATATTCAACATACGACTGATGTTCAGGTTTAATTAGAAGCGTTGCCTATAAGCTTCAGGAACCAGTTCATATGCTCTGAGAATGGCACTTTTCACAGTGTCATAGTCCCCACTTTCTGCCATTGTTAAAGAAGAGTACACCCCTTGTGCTTTCCCAACTAACACACTTTGCAGTAGTAGTGTCCAGGAATATTTTGGCCATCTAGAAACTGTAGCCACACGTTCAAAATGAGGAAAATATTTCAACATTTTGCTCCACAAATGGAGGAACTAGTCTGATGTGTTTAACAACATCAAACATCCCTTCATTCGAAAAATTTACAGAAGCCCTCTTTACTTCTAACTCTTTCAAAAAACGCTCATGTTCTAACATCATTTGCTTTTCTCTGAGTTGTAACTCTCTTTCTCTAAGACTGAGCTCTCGAAGTCTCACCTCAATGTCTGAAGAGACTAGAGCAGATGAAGGAGCAGGATCCAGATCAGGAACAGTCACTCGGTCAGGAACAGGGGAGGCCGGCCGGTCTGCAGAGGGTTGAAGCAGGCCTCTCTCAAATAAAACAGCTCTCACCTTGTCCCTAACATGTTCCTTCAAATATTTGTTCCAAACAGTGGTGTCAAGATCATAAAATGCAGCTAAACTCAACAATTGTTCTTTGGTGAACCTCTCAAATAGCTGCACCGACGGTGACTGAACAAAATCTGACAGAATCCATAGTTACGGTCTCAAAATCACTGGGCAAAAAAAAAAAAACAAAAAATCTCAAAATGTGCATTAAATGCACAACGAAGTGTCCCAAAATACACAAAAGCAGCTGACACGAATGCTCTCTCATCACACAAGTAGGTTCACACAACTAAGCCACAAAAGTAGCAACAAATGGATCCACTCAGTCAGTACCAAACTGCTAGACTCCATAAAACCTACAAAAAGTCAAGAAACACACTAGACTTGACAAAACAAAAGCTGCACACAAGTTAGGATCAAGGACACAAACTAAGCTCACCATAACTCACCTAACTTAACACAATGCTCTCCACACAACAAAGCTGAGTGCACCACACACAAAATGGCTCCCTGGTACCTACCAAAGCAGAACTAAAGCCTGAGTATCTTCTGAGGAGTGCCGGGCTAGAGGTGGCTTTAAAAGCAGAACATCAGTGACCAGATTTCCTCGAAAATAAAAAAACTTAGATTGAAGAATCCCTCCTTAAGGCGCTTGCACACTGAGTCCGAAATTTTCGGATGCGTATTTTGAATGCGTCATCCGAAAAAATTTGTTACGCACAATAACCTTGCACACTGCATCCGATGCGTTTTTATTATTATATTCGTAACAAAATTTCGCTATCTGTGAGAGAAGATGGAGTCATCAAGCAGTGAGGAGGATTTTGTGTTGCTGTCAGTGCTTGAAAAAAGAAAGAAAAGAAAAAGGCGATACTGGGTCCACCCCATCCTCAGAAGTCGGGCAGAACGGGCAGAATACCACCTTCTTACAGATCTGCGTGGTTATCCTGACAGATTTAAAAGTACATTTAGAATGTCTGTAGCACAGTTTGATGCGCTGCTGACAACACTTGCGCCGCACATCAGAAAGAAGACCACAAATTTCCGTGATCCGATTGGCCCTGAACAGCGACTTGCAGTGTGTCTTAGGTAAGCACGCACACACACACGAATACACACACACACGGATACACGAAAACACACACATGGACATGCACACACAGACACACACACACACACACGCGGACACACGAACACACACACGGACATACGAACACACACGGACAAGCACACACAGACACACACACACGGACATACGAACACACACGGACACACACGGACAAGCACACACATACACACAAGCACACAGAGACACACACACGGACACGCACACACAGACACACACACGGACACGCACACACAGACACACACACGGACACGCACACACACACACACACACACAGACTTTATACTATAGGGCCCACAGATAAAACAAATACATCAGATAAATAAATCACACTGTTCTCACTGAGGCAATACCAAGTGTAGGTCTTGCTTTAAATAACATTAAAATAATCCATAATCCAATGTATTCCCTGCTGCAAACATACACATCTTTGTTTTATTAGAAAATTCACTAACTATAACTTTCTTTATACACTTCGATTTTAGATATCTCTGCACAGGCGACTCTTTTACCACCATCGCCAATAGCTACAGGCTGGGCATCACCACTGTGGGGAAGATAGTGAGGGAGACCTGTGACCAAATCTGGAGGCAATTCCAGCCAGTCTACCTGCCCACACCAACAGCAGACACCTGGAAGACCACAGCAAAGAGGTAGTCTATTCTTATTTTACTTTGAGCATTGGATGGTTCATAATTAAGAATGTTTAGTGTTTTTATTTTGTTTAATTTTAGTATCCTCTTAACTCATGCCCTCAGGACTAATCAATTAATTAATAAACACTTTTTTTTGTAGGTTCAATGAAAAATGGAACTTTCCCAATTGCTTTGGTGCCTTGGATGGGAAGCATGTGCAGATTGAGGCCCCTGCAAACTCAGGCTCCCTCTTCTATAATTACAAAGGGACCTTCTCCATAGTCCTCCTGGCGTTAGTGGACGCGGATTACCGTTTCCTCGCCATTGATGTGGGGAGCTATGGTGGGAACAGTGATGGGGGCATATTTGCAGACTCTGCTCTGGGACGAGCCCTGCAGCGTGGGACACTGCATGTTCCTCCTCCAGCGGAGCTCCCGTCTGCACCTGAACTGGGGAAGGTCAACCATGTGATCGTGGCAGACGAGGCTTTTCCCATGAAGCCGTACCTTCTCCGTCCGTACCCTGGAAGGCGTCTTGAAGAAGACAAACGCATCTTCAACCTCCGCTTGAAGATGCGTTTCAGAGCGCGCCGGATCTCAGAGAATGTGTTTGGGATCATGGTCCAGCGCTTCAGGATTTATAAAAAACCGATGGAGGTGAACCCTGACCTGGTGGACAGTGTGGTGAAAGCAACCTGTGTGTTGCACAACTACCTGCGCCACGGAGCATTGGACCAAGCCCTCCAGGAGGAGCATCAGGGCGGCAGTGAGGAAGACAACTCTGCAACTGCAGGGAACAACAACCCCTGTCTGCTGGACCTCCAGAGGCCAAGGGGAAACCGGGCATCTGCAGAGGCTCTGGGCATTCGTGACACCCTTAAAAAGTATTTCACCTCACCTGCTGGCGAGCTACCATGGCAGTATAGCCGTGTGCGCCGTGGACTCCATGGAAATCCATTATAGAACAGTAATTAAAACTAGATCAGCATTGTTATACATTTAAAATAAAAAGAACAAAACAAATCAATTTGTTTCTCTTTTAATTTGCATTCATTTAAAACAGTACAATCGTGAAACAACATTCATAAATACATAAAATACAGTAATCAATAAATAATTCTTTACTATCACATTACCATGGACAGAAGACGCCATCCCCCTGTGGACTCACCCCCCTGCAGGAGAATCAGAAGAACTGGAGCAAATATTATTATTTACATAAATATATACAGTCATTACAATAAATAATTAAACCATTAAAAAAATCACAGGTGAAAGAAGTTTGGTTCCTGCTGATAGAGGGTATCAAAGGCAACGTTATGTACAAGTTCCTGCATTCTGATCTTGAGATAGGAGAGTTTTTGTGGGGTGAGTCTCCTCAAAGTGAGAGCCAAGCTAGAGAGAAAACAGGCCACCTCATCTGTCTGCTGCTCTTCCAACCTCTGGCGATGCTGCCGCTCTCTCTCCCTCTCCTCTTCTCTCACTTTCTCTCTTCTTTCCACTGAAGGTACCTCCCAATGCTGTCTTCACTATCTACTCTCTTCTTGCGCTTGGCACCGCTGCTACTGGAAGAAGCTGAGCCTGAGCTGTTCTCCATCTCTGGAACTCCCTCTTCATCGCTGGCCCTCACTATTTCAGTGCTGACCTCTCCCTCAATTTCTTCCTCCTCCTCTTCCTCCATCTCAATATTACTATCTGACCTGGTGAAAAGTAACTTGTGTAATGAAATTATACTGTATATTGAACTGCTCTTTGCTATTCTATTTTACAGTAGATGATACCTTCTCTTTGTTGTGGAAGATTGAAGGAAAGCCATTACGTCCATATACTTCCACTTCTTCTTCTTAATGGCAGCTTGTCCACTCCTGCCCTGTCCATCTCTGTTGTTGCGGACGTAGGTATCTCGCAGGTTCCGCCACATTTTCTTCACTGCTTCGACTAATACAAAACAAGACACATTTGTTAAAAGTAGCAATGTATGTGTGGTCTATGGTATCACTCTAATCAATGCATGAAGTGAATTATAAGATATATTTATTATTAATGAATATTTTGATATCCTGGACAGAATTTAGAATTATGTAAAGAAGTTATAGTATTGTAGTCAGCCAGCAACCATGTTTAATCACAGCGTACAATTATTATAGTCAATGGATAACATTAGCACAAGGCAAACTAATATAAACTAATAATACAGCACAAAGCATATATGTTAAAAGTAGGCACGTAGGTGGCCTACGTTATTATTCTTTTTATTGATAGTACGTGAGTAAACTCATTTCCAAGAGATGGGTGAACTTTGCAATGAGTTTGCTTTGCTTTATAAGCCACTTACGTGACCCGTCGGGCCCACTGACCTTTTAGCCAAGTGAAACCCAGCCCCTCATTAATCAGTGAGGGGGAGAACACAGAATATACCTCCATGAATCTCTATATTCACCACTAAAGCCTTGAAGTACCTAATGTAATCATTCATTCGCTGGCTAGCTTGGCTACCGGCTGCTAGTTTTCCACGCTAGCGCTAACATGATAATAGCTGTTTTTAGCTGCCTATAAACCAATACATACCGTCCCCGATTCCAAGCTGCTCCGCGATCTCCTGCCATATTTTGTCCTTTAGCTCAGCATCTTTATAATCACTGCTTTCTTTATCATAAAGTGGCTTTTGCTGGGAGACCAAATGAATGAGCCGCTCCGATGCCATGTTTACCTACGGCGGCTCGCTATGGACAACAACCCTCAAAAGGCTCATGACCGGCATATGACGGAACGAAAATTCGTAAAAAAACGAAGCTGTTCCGAAAAATTGAATGTCGGACGAATATTTCGGAGTCGGTGTGCAAGCGTAATTGACATAGCGTGGGTTCGTTTTTTTTTTTTTTCGTGCGAAAAAAACGGACGAAAAACGGACCCAGTGTGCAAGCGCCTTTAGTCTAACCAGGGAGACCAACTAACCACTCAGCAACAAAAAGGAGAGCCTAATCTGGCACAACTAAAGCAGCCCTTCCACACAAACTTACCCCAAACTGAATCAACTGAGATGGATGAACAAAAACTTACAAGGTTCAACCAAGAGACGAGCCCCCAATATGTTACACCCTGGCTCTACAGGTGCAACATAAAGGACAACAGGCAACTAAAAGTTAATATAATTTATTAACAGAAACAAAAGTCTAGGGAGATAACACAAAGAAAACCAAAAAGGGGAGGACAGGTGTGGTGGTGAGCAGGGCTGCTGCTGCCAGGACAGAGAGAGAGAGATGGGTGGAGTCAGGGTGTGGTCTTATAGGCTCCCAGCAGGGAACCTGATGCAGGCTGGAAATCCTGGAAGTGGATCCTGGAACTGGAACAGGTCTGAATGGCAGCTCCACATAACACTCACACACACACACCTACACACTCACACAAGTTACAAGTACAACATGTACTGGGGAATTAGCAAAAATATGTGTGTGTCTTTTGTTTGTGTGTTTAGTACGTTTAGAGTTATGTGTGTGTGAGCGTGTGTTTATAGGGTTAGGCTGTGTGTGTCTATATTTAGGTGAGTGTGTTTATGTGTTTGTAGGTGTATGTGTCTATCTATATTTAGGTGTGTGTCTGCATGCATGTAATTATCTAGTTTTGTGTGTGTATTTTTGTGTGTCTGCATATATGTAATTAGGTGTGCATTTTGAATTAAAAAATGTGTTCTTTCAAATCACTGATTCTAATGTTATTCTATTCAAAGTAAAACAAATAGTCTTCCCATTCTTTTTTTCTCCTTCTGTTATATTCTATCAGGATTAGTCCATGGCCCAGTGCTGATTGACTCTCCAGCGACCCCCTCAGACCCCCTCAGACCCCTTCGGACCCCCTTGTACCCCTTCGGACCCCTTCAGACCCTCTTACACCTTCCCACTTTACTCAATACAATCAAACAGACCCCAGATTTCCACAAACATCCATTTAGGGGCAGGTTACCATAGCAACAGGGAAAGGAGACGGATCCAAAATAACCCCTAATGCCTTTAGCTGAGCCTGGAAATTGTCTTGAATTGGATGTTTTCAAAAACCAATCTCCAGAAAACAGCAAAAGGAAATATATTTTTGCAGGTGCTTATTTCTCAATAAAAACTCACGTCAGACCCAAAGGCTGAGGACCAGATCGAGTCTTGAATCATTTATACTTGAGCAGCGATGGTGGAGTGACTGTGCATTGGGGGCTGTTCATCAGGAAGTTTTAGAAATAATATAGCTCCAAAAACGCCAGGATTCACAAAACTGTTCAATGACGAATTAAAGAAACTAGAAATATATTATTGCGAGGACAAAATGCGGTTCATATGAGCAATAATGTCAGAATGTGCAATCTGTGATTCTTTTACCCCAAGCATGGTTGTGATAAAGTTCTATTGTAGCCACACCTGCCCTGGGGCACACCGACAGAAGCGAGGCAACCAGCATGTTGCCCTGTTTCCACTTGCTCTACTCTACTCTACTCTCCTCTGCACAGTGGCTGACTCGATAGTGCTCTCGCTTCTCAGCAAGAAGGTTGTGTGTTGGAATCCCGGTCGGAACAGGGCCTTTCTGTGTGGAGTTTGCATGTTCTCCCTGTGTTTGCGCCCAGACATCTTGGTGAGACCTGCGTAAGACATGGATCTTGGAGAGACCTGAGGCAGACATCTTGGAGAGACCTGAGGCAAACATTTTGGAGAAACCTGAGGCAGACATCTTGGAGAGACCTGAGGCAGACATCTTGGAGAAACCTGAGGCAGACATCTTGGAGAGACCTAAGGCAGACATCTTGGAGAGACCTAAGGCAGACATCTTGGAGAGACCTGAGGCAGACATCTTGGAGAGACCAGGGCTGACATCTTGGAGAGACCTGAGGCGGACATCTTGGTGAGACCTGAAGCAGAAATCTTGGAGAGAACTGAGGCAGACATCATGGAGAGAACTGAGACCTGAGGCAGACATCTCCGAGAGACCTGAAGCAGACATCTTGGATAGACCTGAGGCAGACATCTTGGGGAGACCTGAGGCAGACATCTTGGAGAGACCTGAGGCAGACATCTTGGAGAGACCTGAGGCAGACTCTTGGAGAGACCTGAGGCAGACATCTTGGAGACCCAGGGCTTGGTGAGTGGATGGGTGTAGACAGTTGCTATTACTGCTCAGACTCAGAAGAAAGCCGTATTTAAGTAGATTTGACGGAGGCATTAGCAGCAGAGATGGATCGTAATGTGGAGCCATAAGACGGGCGTGGGGGGAGAAAGTACAGGCTTAATGCAGTTTTAATAGATAAATGTTGGGCGGATGTAGCTCAGCAGGAAGGGGAGAAGCAGACAATGGTTTTTAAATGCTGACTAATGGAGGCAATTGATGGGGAGGGGCGTCGGCGAGAGAGGAGGAGGACAGGGATGGAGTGGGGTGCTCATGTGCAGGTGGTGGTTTGCTACAGTTATTTCACCAAAATAGGAAAAATCCTTATATTTGACTTTCATTTTACAAATGTTTGCCCTGTTTCACTGGCGGGTAACTGATGGCAAATGTAAATAATAATAAAAACTATATACTTGAACACACATACAGACTATATTCTTTCTTTTATTTTTGAAAAGTAGGTAGTCTTGACTTATATTGCGCCCTCTACAGACAGAGTCACGAAGAGCTTTACAAAGTTTGTGGGCAATTGTCCCATGTACACGGGAAGCAAACCTAATTTTTTTTTTACCATATACTGTATATAGATGGACATTGCTAGCTCAATGAAGCCCAAAGGGAAGTGCTCATGAAGAAAATTTCACACTCACCATTTTGGGCTTTAAATAAAGGTGGTTTAGCGCTCTCTGTGATCCTGGTGTTTATCTTTTGATATTGTCTTTGTGAATCCATATATGAGTCAAATAAGCATTGACCAATCAGCCTTCATTCATGATTTGGTAACTTGTCTGTCACTGACAAGGCGCAAAGCTAACGCCATAGAAGAAATGCCCATGTAAGGAATTTGGCTTTGCTATGGTGATGTCACACTCGGTCAGTCCACTCCTATTATACGCTCTGTGGTCTGCAGAGTTGCTTTAGGGCTGAAGTGAAAGTCAAGGCTTTATTTGTGCAACTCAAAAGTGTGAAAGCAGGTGTGCAGCCAACTGTTGTTTTCATCTTTCTTTAGAATCAAGCTCTGAGCATCAGGGCGAGACAGTTTTATATCTGCATCCAGTTTGTGTTTTATATAGCGCTGCAGGACACTCAAAGACGCTTCAAAAGTTATTCTATCACTCCATACACAGTGGTGATAAACTACTAGTGTAGCCACAGCTGCCCTGGGGTACAGTGATAGAAGTGAGGCAACCAATATGTGCCGTTGGCCCCTCCGATCACCACCAACCATTCACACAGACTAGACTACTTCTACTCAGTGTGGGTGAAGTCTCTTGCCTAAGGACACAATGGCAGTTTTACAGCAGTCCCACTGCGGCACCTGGTGTTCCCAGAGGTCTCCCATTTCAGTATTAACCAGGCCTTGCCCTACACAACTTTAGAGGTCTGACGGGATCTGCCTTTCGCATGCAAGTATGGTCAGATAACGCTTTAATGATACACTAACACGTAATAATGTAATCAACACCCACCACATGATTTTATTTTCATTTGAATGTGTAGAAAGACAAGAATGAGCTAATTTTAGAATTGAAGATCCTCAGGTGACCCACACAGGCAGGTCGAGGAAACGGGGTCCTACATGAAAAATTCTTAAAGAGCGACTAAACACCTGTGCCCAGCCTTACTCCGCCCACATGAAGATTTGAAAATGTTCTCTAAAAAGGGCGTTGCCTGGAGGACCAAGGGACAAGAAGGGGGGCTTAGAGTTGGGCGTGCTCTGGGCTGTGATTGACAGCTCACTTGTCACACACAAAAAAAACCAGACAGTTGTCATTGCTGCTTGAAGCAATAGTTTACAGACCAGAAAGTCTCATTCCACCCTTGTTTACACACTAAGATAATTGTAAAGCTACACACCTGAACCTAATCTCACTCAATAATCTCAGAATGACTCATGTAATTTAATTTTAATCCACTAGATGGCGCCAGAATACTCCAAACTGCAGCTGGGGCGTGTGTGAGAGTTGAATGGGTTCACATCCCTGGCTCTGACAGACTGACGTCACACAAAACAACTGATGTCATAGAGAACTTCAGAGTCAATGGAGAGGCCAGGACCAAATTCAAATGTAGTACCACCAAAAAGGTTGAGAGGGCACCACACAGCGTTTTTTGGCTCAAAAGTGATATTTTATCTAATTTGAACTAAAATGTCAAAAAAATGACCAGGATATGTAGACAGCACTACAATAAACATACTTATGCAGTTTATGAGTTAAAAAAAGTTGATTTGGTGTTTAGTCGCTCTTTAAGTACGTGCAGCACATATTCCAGTCTAAATGTGGACAAAATGTAGTTATTGTTCAAATGCAGCTGGTGCGGTTTATAAAGTGATGGTGCTTAATAGTTTGGGTATTGTAGCTGGATATACGTATTGCGGCTGACTGGTAAACTGCTCACCTCACAGCAGAAAGGTCCAGTATCCTGCCCTCCAGAGAGCAGAGGGGCTTTCTGTGCATATGTTCCCTCTCTGTCTGAGTACTCTGATGGTCCACAGCAGCAGAGGTCTGACCTGATGCCTATTGTGCACGTTCCTGACAGGAAGCCTCAGTGGAGTTGAAG